TTATTTATATAGCGCCAAGTCACAACAAACATCATGTCAGGACACTGTACACAAAAACTATCAATCTAAAGAAGCCAGCAGATTAAAATTAAAAGACATTATTTAAACACAAACATCTCACAAAGTATAAGTAAATAATGCACTGGGACATGATTTTAATTTATAAAATCTGGTAAGATACTTTTATTTAAACAGATAAAAACCTTGCTGAGATACAATCTCTTTTTCAAACGGGACCTGGCGTGATAGCAGCACCATTATAAATATCAACATTCAAACACACAAAATCAAATAATAAAAAATGCATTCTATCTATAACAATGACAATTAAAACTGGTCTTTTCAACAGCGCTTTCGCAGGGCTCTGTGACCTGAGCCAAACAAGCTTTAACAGATTATCTAAACAATAACTAATATTTTTTTAAAAACTTAAATGTGTCTAATTTGGAACAATTTAAACAGTCAAAATTAATTATATATATTAAGCTGACACGATGCATGGATAATATCGATGATGGTTTTGAATGTGATTGTTGGATGTTACATTTTATTTCTCTTTCAGTGTTGTGTTGACAGTGTTGTGTTGACTCCTGCTGCACACAGACATCAGTGTTGTTTCACACCGATAAACTGACTTTTTACAACCTCTGTATTCAATGTTGTTTTCCTGGACTCACGTTGAGTTTTTATTGAAGCTCAGGTTTTTTTTTTTTTGTTTGTTTCATGTGTGTTTTGTCTTGTTTTACCTCCGTTCAGTTCTTTCACTGCCTTTGTTTCACCGGTGTTTACTCTGGTGTATTTATGCCTCTCAGTTTGTTCGTTTACCTCGTCTAGACGTCAGCTCTGTTCTGCTGCGTTCTCGTTTAGTTTTTACTTTGGTTTCATCTGGACTGCTCRCTCTTCATYAGCGACTTCCCTTTTGAGCAGTTTTCTGCTCCTGCACCCTCCTGTTTGCCAGCAGCGTCCATGTATCCTGTCCAAACAGCTGAAACAGCTCAAACATCAAGTGGATGCAACACGAGAAACAAGATGTTTGTGGGATTCTTGGGTTTAGTTTCATTATTTTATTCTGTTAAAGCTAATTTCAAAGAGAAACTTATTTTCACTTCGTTCTAAATGTATTTCTGCAGGGAAAATAGTTGTAAACAAAGTTAAATATTTCAAAAAGTACCTACAGTGGTTTGCAAAAGTATTCATACCCCTTGAACTTTTCCATATTTTGTCACATTACAACCACAAACATAAATATATTTCAC